TGTGTCCCCTTAAAGACCAATAAGGAAATAAAAAAAAAAAAAAAAAAATTAAAATTTTAAAAACTTTAATATGTATAAATAAACATTAAAAAGTACACATTTAAAAACGAAATTTTAAAAACTATCAGACCTGTCAGTCAGATTACAAGAACTTCAGAGTCTCCACGAACTGCAGTACTAAACCAGGCTGACTCGCTGGACTAGGACTCTGCATTTCCACGCAGTAAATGAGACAATTGTCCAGCAGCATGGGATAGCAGCAATAATTCCGAGCACACATAAGCAACAAATGCCTCTAGCCCACCTAAGGCAGACCATCACCCGGTTCACACGAGCACGCTACCTTGACCTCAGGACGCCTACTCCCAGTGCCAAAGTCTTACTACAAATCAAACAGGGTTATCTGAGTGACTACCTGATGAAGTGACGATTTCCACACAGCTGAACACTCGGATTTGAGATAAAATGTTTACTCAATTTCAAACCAGTGCAAGGAAATATAATTACTTATGGCAACACCCAGAAATACCGAGCAACTGGAAATAAGTACTGTGGAATTAATATCAGCGCCATCTTCAGACTTTATTGACACGACCAATGTCATGACATATCTGTAATACCGTTAAAAGTGCTTCCATGGTGGCACTGAGCTCAGCCTGAACAAAATTACTGAAGCATTTACCTACTGTCTTTGGTGGGTCTGCAGTCCATGCTGGGTTTCATACCACCCTGGTGAAGGTGCCAGCACAATCTCAGCTCACTAGTTTAAACATAGCTCAGGTGAATTGTCTGTGAAACGCAGTTACTGCAGCAATACATACGTATCAAAACTTCAGCATGGGAATATTTAAAAAACAGGTACTGTTCCACGGGATTTTCATTTCAAGAGGTAGCTAAGACTGTGTGTATTTCTTTATGTATATTAGGTACAGTATACACACACACGCATATGTAAGTACAAACGTATATTCACATACAAAGAGGGCAAGACCTCTAATATTCCACAAAGGATTACCAGCCTCCAAGACAGCACTGTGGCAAGACAGATTCCAGATGAGCTACTCAAAATTCAAGACTGGCAATAAAGCCAAGCGTATCAAAAGCTTACACGTGAAGTTTTGTCATCACGTAGGCCAATGGCTACACTCAGCCAGACGACGCCCTGTACGCAGCGCGGGCCTCGTCACCCCCAGCCACCAGCGCGGCCCTGGGCAGACGGTGCGGGGAAGCCGACTGCTCCTCTCCGCGCTGGCTCCCCTCCCCACCGCAGCCAGCATCACCCACGGCACAGTGAATTCATCAACCCCTGCCCAGCACGCCCATCACACTGCGGCAACTGGTACGCTACAGTGCTGCAGACTGCTGAGACAGACAAAGCGCAGAATATAAAACTGTGCTGAAAACAATAAAGTTACAGCTTAAATTCTCAAGGCACTCACACTGACGTGAACTGCAACCCAGAGGTCTCCAAATACTGGGAAATACAATGAGCAAGTTGTCGTAACTGTCTACGACACACATTTGCCAATAAACAGAGTACATCCTAAGAAAAATCAACACCGTGAACTCACAAGACTTTCCTCCTCTCTCTGATTAACCACGTACACCTTCACCCGAGACCATCATCATGCCGTCATTCAGCTGACACATGTTCTTGTATCAGAACAATACCTACGTCTCCAAGTAACTCCTCTGACAGTGAAGGGAGGAGGCAGGCGAGGTCATGAGCTCAGCACCGGCCACCCGTGGAAGTTCCCTTCGGCTCCTGGAGTCAGTCCTGCAACTGCTGCCAGCTTCTGCAAGACAGGAGCTGCTCACTGCAGGTCCTGCAAGTGACCTGCACCGCCTCACAACAGCTGACCACCCGCACACATCACCCTGCTCTCTCCATCGCAGAGAAGCCATTCTGAAGCTCTTGACAGCTAACAAAGCAAGCTCTCAGGCTTACAAGATGACTTAAATCAGCCACCTGAGCCTACCTGATGCATTCTGCTACCTCCAAGTCAGCTTCGTTCAAGCACCCTGTAAGTATCCTAGAGGAGACAGGGGCTTGGGACAGTGCTCCAGGACCCAGGGAATCTCCCAGCAAGCTTGGAAAGTCTGCAAACGTTCTCAGCAGTGCCACCTTCCAACAGCCTTCTCCCAACAAGCCTCACTGCAGTGCTTCTGGAGACAACCAGCTGCCTGCGGCTGCTGCGCTGAGAATTACCCAGAACAAGGAAGCAATACCTTTTTTTTTTTTTCTTTTTAACCTTGCAGTTAAATTCTTATGGCCGCCAACTGATAACAGATGAAGTAAAAGGTTCATATTTAGAAGGTGTCCTGTACTTTTAATAGAATAACAGTATTTGTTTGCTTCTAGAGCTGTTGCACATGCGCCTGTCCTCTCCCCATATTCCAATGTAACACCATTTGGACAGGATTTCCACTGGGGTCAGGGAACAGTGGGCAGGTAATGCATGAGAAACAATGCGACGTAAGGACCTTAACTTCCACTGGCACTTGAGCCAAGCTTTGTTACTCTGTACAAGCTACTGTGAGCCTCCACTGTCTCAACTTATTGCAGCCTACCTCTGTCCACTCACTGCTCCTTCATATCCATCTCTCCCCAAACCACTCGTACTCCCTCCTTTGGGTCTACACAGTTGCTTTTTGACAACATACCTCAGGCTATCTTAATCCTTTCACAGCATAGTGAAGGTTGGAAAGGATATTTACAGGCCATCTAGCCCAACCTCCCTGCCACGAGCAGAGACATCTACCACTAGATCAGGTTGCTCAGGGCCCTGTCCAACCTGACCTTGAATGTTTCCTCTCTGGGCAACCTGTGCCAGGGCCTCACCACCCACAGTGTAAAAAATTTCTTCCTTATATCCAATCTAAATCTCCCTCATTTTAGTTTAAAGCCATTACCCCTTGCCCTATCGCATCAGATCCTGCTAAAAAACTTGTCCCTGTCTTTCTTACAAGCCCCTTTATACATTGAAAGGCTGCAATCAGGTCTCCCCGCAGCCTTCTCTTCCCCAGGCTGAGCAGCCCCATCTCCCCCAGCCTTTCCTCCCAGCAGAGGGGTTCCAGCCCTCGCATCATTGCTGGGGCCTCCTCTGGCCCTGCTCCCACAGCTCCAGCTCTGTCCTGTGCTGAGGGCCCCAGAGCTGGACGCAGGACTCCCGGGGGGGTCTCCTTCCTCCAAAGTCTTCCCTCAAATTGTGACTTGCAATAGCTCCCACCAAAAAAAAGCCCTCAGCTGGCTTGGAGGATCCTCAGCCAGCAGTAACCCGGGCTGGCACCAGCCCTACCTGCCTGTGGGGTTCCAGCCTGCCCTTGGGGCTCAGAGGTACTGCAGCAGCAGAATGACTAGCTGTCTTTTCCTGAAGAAGATAAACCCATTGTCCGATGTCAGTACAGAATCCCAGATTTCAATTTAGTGGGAACAGATAAGACACAGAGGAAATAAATGCCTATGATGGGTCAGAACTTCTTCGTGTTTAAACATGTCACCGTTAACAATCCATCCCTGCCAGTGTCTGCAGACATGCCTGAAGGCATCTTCCGTGTTCTCCCATCCGCTTGGGTTCAGAGAGCACAACCTGATGTCCAGAAGTCAGAGAGGACTTCTGAATTGATAAGCACAAGAAATCACACCAACAGATAGGTCCTTAAATTCGGACCTCCTTGCCAAGGAAACACAAAGCAACACTTTGCGCTACGAAACCCCATTGCAGTGGCACCACTTTTCCCAAGCAGAACTGTACTTTGACCAAGTCCTGCTTTGTGAGTGCATTTAACTTGGTAAAGCAAGAGCACCCCTCAATTCTGATCACTTCTTCACTTTCCACACATTTTCCTTCTGTTCCTCAGGTTTTGTCACGAGAAACAGCCACCTAAAAGTACTCACTATCGTTTACTGACACATGGAAAATGCTCAGAGACTTTACAATCCAAAATTTTAACTGAACTGTTTGGTATGAATTATTTCTGATCACAACTCAGAATGTAGCAGCGGATCACTCTTTCTTCTCTATCTCAACAGAAACGACAACAATACTCAGCCACTGCACCCAACATACCAACAACTTCAACACAGGCAGCAAAGCGTCAGGAATCAAAACACTCTGGAGGTGCAGTGTTTGACTGTGCATCCTATGCATTTGTGCGGCAGGTGCTTCACCGTGAATTACCATTTGCTTAACCCCTTCTAAACGCAAGCAAGGGAGGCCCAAATACTTACCGTTGCTAACCATGCGTCTAGCTACTTCCCAAAGGACCAGCCCAAAAGCCCAGATATCGACCCTTTTATACGAGTCAAAGCAGTCTGCCTGGATAGTTTCGTCCAAGACTTCTGGAGCCATGTAGCGCTTGGTACCCACACGGGGATTGTTCCCCACATCCAACTGATTCGTGCTTTGGGAGTGCATTACTGCAAGGCCTGGAGGACAAAAAAACAAAACAACAAACCACTGTTAAGTCTTCTTTAAAACTATAGCAGCATGTGTTCAAAATCACACGTGAGCAGTGACACCCACCAGACAGTTTCTTAAAGAGAAAGAGCTGAGAGTCCAACTGTCCAAAGACTAACTGGGTCAGCTCCAAACCATCTATCAAAACAGCCACTGTGTCCTTAGACTTAGACCAATTATCCCCTCAGGGATTACCATTAAGCATGTTATTGCACTGTTGCAAAATGTTGTCATTAAGTGTTTTGCAGCCACTGGATGTCACCAGCGCTCTAGGCACGTATACACAGAAGGCCAAGCATCTGTTACTTACAAGAAAACAATTTTACACAGCATTCAAATTTATTTATAGAACTTTTGGGTAGGTGGATATATCCGAACTGTGAGGAAGAGAGAAGAAAAACACTGCATGATGGATATAAACAAGTTAAAAAAATAAAGCTGGAGAATAAAAAACACCATATTTGCAGTAGCTTGAAAAACAAACATCCTCAAGCTGATCTAAAATGAGTCAGTCAAAACCACTCTACCTGGTTTCTACTAATTGCTAAACATTTAAGCAAAGAACATTATGTGAGGGACTAAATTATTGTAAATTTGGAAACACACAGAGTACTCGTTCTGCCATGGTAAACAGAGAGCACTGCAAATTGAACAGCAACAGGTGCATGACATAACTAAGCAATAGAAGAGAAGACACAAACTCTCCCTAATTTCTTCAAAAACTCTTGTAAGAATAACATACGCCATTTACATTTAACATGAGTTCATTTTAGAGGAACTTAAAAAGCTTTTTAACTCAGTTCCACAAAAATTAACCTATCACCAGATCATTATTTTTTTCTCTTTCCAAAACAGTCTGTACTCACCGTAACAAAAATTTGGAAAACACTCTCCTACAATTTAATTACTTGAAGTAATTTCAAGCTGCTAAGAAAACGTGTATGGCACCTCTAGAAAGCTAACACCTACTAACCGCATGACTGCTGAGAAGATAATTTGGAAAGCCCTCTCTGCAGATAGAAGTATTTTTTTTATTTATATATATATATACACACACACACAGAGGACATATTTACATACACACTTATACATTTACATATTTGTTTATATTAATTTATATTATATGTGTGGATTATAATATTTAAAAAAAAACAACTTGCACACTGGAAATAAAGGTTAGAAAAGTTTCCTGGCAAACTCTGAAGACATCAAGACTCTGCAGAATGCTTTGATAAAAATCGTAATACTCCATCCAAATTGGGCAAAACAGATTCAACAGATTGACAGGTCAAAGGTTTAAGGCTGAGGGATGCAAGTCAGCATCCCGCACGCTACAAACTCAAAGTGTTGCAATAAGGTCAGGGGCCAGCAGTGTTGTAACCAGGGCCTCATCATGGCGGCGTCGGTGCTGTTTACGAGTTAGGAACCAGATCCTGCACCGCTGCAGTTTCTTTGCACTGCAGGAGATTTAATGCACATTTAACTTAAGGGCACTTACGCGCTCATCAGAGAAGCTCTTACTGTAAGACACTAATTCTTTGAATTAAAAAAAAAAAAAAAAAGAAAAAAAACAAATTGATGAAACACATTGGTTTTTAAGACACCGAAAAGCCCTCCTCAGCATACTGAAGTATCTGCTAGAAACAAAAAATTGAGCAAATATGTTTTGTTAGCATTCTTTGCACCTTTTGCACAAACACCACTGCTTGTTTCAAACAGACATTCACTACTCTACCTGCTCAGGCAAAGGGAAGGAGGGAGTAAGAGGAGTGTTGGGCTTTTTCTTCTTTACGTATAAGCATTATTCTCTAGTTCTATAAAGGTGCTCAACTAAGACCTATCACCATACACGTGAATTGCTTTAGAAGGGCGGAAATTTTCCACAGTGCTGACAGATCGAAGGACTTTATCACACAGCTTCTGCTTAGCTAGAACATATTTAAAACAGCCAGCTCTGTAACTGCAACTCTGGATAGCTGGGTTGCTGTTCGAGATACTAGCTTCCAGCACACCTGCCGAAGGACAAGCAGCCAATTCACAGCTCTTGCTCTCACTGCCTTTCAGAAGGACGAGGACTGAACAGCCACAAACACCAAGCCACACCGCTGTTCAGGCACACAGCGCTCAGGCTGCCAGCAAAACAGACAATCACAAGATGAGCATCAGAGCACTTTAATTCCTCTTTGTTTTCAGAGCTGACACCTATTCTGAACGGGTACGTTGCAAGTCCAGAACCTGGTGTGACCAACCGAACAGCTTAGCGCTGGGCAGCTGCAGTGCACCCCTCCATCTGCTCACACTTACCAGTCTGTGTGCCATTTCTTGTATGGTGCACATGTTGAAACAGAGAAGGAGACCAGAGAAAAAGACAAAGCTACACAGAAAAAAAGGGCACAAAGGCATGCCAGGAGCAACAAGCTCTGTGGTAACTTTCCTTTACAGACACAGAACAAACTAAGAACATGTCAGATACAGCCGAGTATTTCAGGTTTAAAAAAACAGCTATTTTACCACTATAAAAATTAACTGGGAAATGTTTATTGCTGTGCTCTCTCAGAAAATCTCTTGACTACCTGAAGCCTCTAGAGAAATGAAGTAGATTTCACTTCATTGGTGTGATGTCAGTCAGTGCCAGTATGTGCTGGCCCCTCCTCAGCGCGAGGCACCCGCTCATTTAAAGGCCAGTCTCTGAAGTTTTCTATGTCCAACTTACTGCTCCATTTTTCTCTTACCATTCCCTCTGCAGATGCTGACAGGCCTGGGTGCGTGGCCTTCACGCTGTCCCTGTGCGCACCTCCCGTCCCTCAGGCCTAGGGGACAGGCACTGCGCAGTGGAATCACTACTGGAAACACTCCCACCTCCCGGCAC